ATTTCACATTGATTTTGCATGGTAATTGGTTGGATATAGCAGGTTAAAGTATTATTAAATAGATTTCATATTTCCTTTAATTTCTTTTTTCTTTTTATTTTTTTTTTTTTTTTTTTGAGATAGGATTTCACATTGTGGGCTGTCTTGGCCTTTTTGAACTTTGTGAAGTTAACTAAGAGGCAAGGGACACAGGCCTACAATTCCAGGGAGGTTGAGGCCAAAGAGCTTGGGGCCAGCTTCTAAAAACCAGTCAACTATTAGCAAATCCAAATGATGAGAGGGGGGGTGCCCGACATGGGGATTCCTCAGGGTGCCACTGACTCACAAGGCTGAGGAATGTCGGAATGAGTGATACACAGATATTTGGGAGAACTGAAAGCTCCTGGTAGACTGAAGCATCTATGGTTGTCAGGCAGGATGTCTGTGCTGTCTCTTCTATCATGCAAGACATGCTCCATTCTGGGTGTAACAGAGAAGATGGAGAAATAGGAAAAGTAAAGTACCAATGAGCCATCTCTCTCCACTCAAGGAAAACTGACACTTCAGCCACAGATGCACAAGCATCTGTGCAGCTTAACACTCTCCCAGGTACCAACGAGCCCTAGCTATCGATTCTCAGATAAAACATGTTTGTAGTGTGTGGTTCTCAACCTGTGTGTCTCGACTCCTATGCAGGTCAACCAACTTTTTCTCAGGGCCTGTAAATCAGATATCTACAGTACACGCCACAGCAGTAGTGAAATTACAGTTACAAAGTACCAATGAAATAATTTGATGGTTGGGGGTCACCACAGCATGAGGAACTGTGTTAAAGGGTCACAGCGGTAGGAAGGTTGAGAACCACTGCTCTACACTCTCAGCTCTTAAGCAGCTCACCAGAAGGAGGAACCTCCAAAGACCAAACAGTAGAAGCTTCCACCCCACTCCTTGTGTCCACCAGTTTCAGGAGTAGTGCTGGTTTCACACAGTCTGTGCTCTCCTGACACTTCTTCACAATCTTGTTGGCCACTGCTGTGTCTTGCAGTCTCCTCGGCACTGCCAGCACCAGCTCGAGCAGCTGCCTGCTCTCTTGGCTATTGTCGACAGCTCCTGTCCCCTGCCTCACCTCAGCTCACCAGTCACATTAGTTGGGTGGTGAGTGAGCTAGCATGGGGTAGGCTCTGAGCAGGGTTGCACGGCCCCATGGAGAGCTCTCATCACATCCTTTCAGGCAATGATGCTCCCTAGGGTGGATCACGGAGCCCTTAGATTGTGACTGCATTTGCATTTCCTCCCGGCCGCCGTCCTGGCCTCCCACATCTAGGTGTCCATGGTGGTTCCTCAAGAAATCTGGTTCTCATCACACCCTGCACGCAATCCTTCAAGTTATAAATCTGGACTGCAAGTCAGGGAGAAGTCTATTTCTCAGGAGGCTCTGGGGCTCCCTGTGGTTAAATCACTTTCCCACTTTACATAACTTGAGAACTGTCTGCCTAGTGACAGGTCTGCCCTTTTTGGTGGCTGCCTAGCACAGTGGTACACAGACATCTTTATAGCTGTTCTTGGCTACTTTGTGGGTTCTTCTTTCTTCCACCCTTCTACACACCCTTTCCTTCCACCCTTTCAACCTCCTAATACTAGAGAGAAGAGAAAAATAGAGAGGAAAGGGAAGAAATCCCTCAACAAAGTCAGGGATCACAAAGTGGGTGATGTTATAGTTAGACAACTTCCTGCTGACTGGGGTGCTCAGTTCCTTGGAGCCAATTTGATCTTTGCTGTCAGGATATCTAATTTCTTCTCCTTCTCCTTCTCCTTCTCCTTCTCCTTCTCCTTCTCCTTCTCCTTCTCCTTCTCCTTCTCCTTCTCCTTCTTTTCCTTCTTCTCCTCCTTCTCCTTCTCCTCCTTCTCCTCCTCCTTCTCCTCCTTCTCCTCCTTCTCCTCCTTTCTTCTTTCCACACAACTACTTAACAAACTGAAACCAACAGTGACCAACAACAGAATTCCAAATGACACACAATTGTAGAAATTATCTGCTGCTGGCAAAAATCACACCCCTGCTAGAGCACGAGGCAAATCACAGTCAGCTGCTGTGCACAATCTGAAGTTGCCTCATATCCCACATCTGGGATTAAAACAAAAACATAGTCTTATAATATTTGTTGTTTTATTTTTTTAAGAAATCAAAACTCATGCCGGGCAGTGGTGGCACACACCTTTAATCCTAGCACTTGGATTTCTGAGTTTGAGGCCAGCCTGGTCTACAGAGTGAGTTCCAGGACAGCCAGGGCTATACAGAGAAACTCTGTCTCGAAAAACAAACAAGCAAAACAAAACAAAACAAAAAACCCCAAAACTCCAAAATTGTCACTACACATCTTTTTATCTGAGGACCAAAATTTAGTTTCTGCCCATTTCAGTGACTTCAGGGAATGCACAAATCACCCTGGGACACCCCTTGCCTCAAACCTTGGGAATCTTTCATTCTGTCCTTTCTCATCCTAGGCAGACATTGTTAGACATGCTGTCGGGAAGCAGTGGCCTGCTTCCTTTCCTCTGCACCCCTGGCCTCCCAGTCCCTCTTCAACATTCCAGGCCACATACAATCTGGTTCTGTCCTATAACCACACCTTACCCAGCACCTGAGCTCTGACTTCACTGAGCAGCACAGTGTCCCCAGACTTTAAAGTCTCCCTTGTCTTCTGCTACCCACTCCTATTGGCCCCATCTCCAAATCTTGGAAGAATCAACTCCAATGGTGCTGCCTCCAGGAAGCCCTCCCTACTATCTCAACTAGAGCACTCTCCCCTAATAGAAACTGCCCTCACCACCTTCCTTATTATACTGACTTGTCCAACTTTTGTAGTACAAGTACAACTTCTGTAGTACTCCTGTCCCCTTGTGTCCTGGTGTTCTCGTCTGTTGCTTTCCCTGTTTCCTGACAGAGTAACTACTTCCTAAGGTCTGGGACAGGATCCAGACACAAACTCAGACAAGTCTAGAGCTGGCCCGAGTTCTGGTATAACAGGACACTAATGTGGTGAATTAGGGCATATCCAATCTCAGAGACTGGCTTCCCCATGGCCTACAGCAGGCAGGCCTGACCACAGGGTTCTGCTGAGAGAGGGCAGAAGTAATCTTTCTTGGATAATGGTCACACAGCCTCATTTCCTCTGGCCAGCAATCCCATTACTGGCCTTTGGGATTTATGTCTGAGACCAACCCTAAGCCCATCACTAGCATATGGCATCCTGGCAGAGGAGGAGAAGGGAGAGTGTGCACCTTCCTTCCTCCCTCCCTCCCTCCCTCCCTCCCTCCCCACCTCGAATCCTCCCTCCCTTCTCTCTACTATCTTCCATGGAACCATGATGCTCTGGGCCTGCCCTGGACTGCCTCATGCACTTTGTTCAGACTCTAGCCTACCCCCAGGGGCACCTGTTGTTGAAATTATTTAATCCCGACCCAGAGTTTGGGTCTCAGGTAAGACATACACATCCTTATATTTACAATAAGGCTTAAATAGCACAAGAGCTGTGCAGATACTTACCTTCTGTGTTAATAGAATCTATTTTTCTATTGATAACCCCTAGTTATTATTTATTACTTACTATGTTTTATCTGCTCTTAACTCCAACTAGTCAGTCCTCCAGACCACATTTTCTTGACTCCCAACCCATCGCGGCTTCTCCTTCCTCCTCCTGCACCTTTTTCTCCTCCTGGTTCTCCTCTGACCCTCAGCTCGTGAAACCTACATCCTACCCATGTCTCTTCTGTCCAGCTGTTGCCCATTGGCATCTATACTTACCATTCAGAAACAACTGGGGGGCAGGGTCACTTGAGTCTATTGCGTCTACTCCAGATAGACTCCAGGTCTTGGGGACCCACACTTAGCATTACAATAGATAGCAGGATCAAACCTCAACAGGCACCCTAGGATATAACAACCCAAAACTGGGGTGGGGACAGAAGAAAGCACAGGGACCAGGAGAGGAGGCCAGATGTCAGAAGAGGACTCCGGGAGGAGGCATCTTCACTCTTGGTCTAATGGGAGGGCCAGTCCATGGTCAGGGCTAAGCAGAGCTGCTCAGATCTCAGGGGTTAGCCTGTTCTGAGGGGTGGGCACTGGCTGCTGGGAGGTATCGGGGCTGGCATTAGGAAGACCATGAGGAATGGGAGGATTATCTGCTCTTGTTTACATGATTAAAACCAGACAAATACTTCCTTTATCTGAAGGAATGAAAGGGCTTTGGAGGAAAATCCTTTTGGCAGTGAAACAAAGCACAGGCATTTCCTTAATTAATCTCTGACTCCCTCCTCCAACAGCAGAGACACCCTCAGTACTGGCCAGGCGAGGCGGTGGTCTGGCTCAGGTTCACTCTGGAAGAGATGCTTCTTGTGTTCTCATGTGAGGAGGGGGATCTTGTCAGAAGTCACATGGCCAGTCAGAGGTCACATGGCCAGTTGTCAGGCAAGGTCACTGTCTCTGCCTCATTTTTAGTTCCTTGAGGAAGCCTGTAGTAGCCACCTGCTCCCTGTCCGCTAGTGCTGGGCACTGGGGAGCCCCCAGAAAAGTCAGACATGTCCCTTTCATGTTCATCCAATCTTGGGACGGCATTAGGCAGGTAAACATGGTGTGACAACCAGGATCATGAGAGAAGAGGCTGAGGGCTGAGAGAGCCCTAGAACAGAAGCCTAACATTGGCAACGTCTTCACTGTAGAATTAACACATCCTGGTCCTGTCTGATAGTCAGGTGAGCATAGGTGGCTTCTGAAAAGAACCACGCAGAGGGGACAGCATAGGTACTGATCCAGTGGTGTGGTGCTCTGGGCTGGAGACCCAGGTTTCAGAGAGAGAGAATAGAGCAGAGAGGTTAGGAGCCTCAGGACTGGAATATCCACCAGAGGGAGACTTTCTGAAGCACATGAGGGTACATGTGACAAGGGAGCGAGCCACAGTGAACACAACAGAGTTCCTGGCCAAGGTCTTGTACCTCTCACAAACCTGACCCACCTTGCTTTCCAGCTTAATGTCCGGCCTTGCCTCCCTGGATGCCAAGACCTCCAGCCGCTTGGGCATCCTCACTGTGGCTTACTACCTGTGGACTACCTTTCTGGCTGTCGTTGTGGGCATCATCATGGTCTCCATCATCCACCCTGGTGGTGCAGCACAGAAGGAGACGACCGAACAGAGTGGAAAGCCAGTCATGAGCTCAGCTGATGCCCTCCTGGACCTTGTCCGGTAACTCCCCAGGCCTGGTACAGGTCCCCTGTGTGGCCTCCAGAGAGTACATAGAATGTGGGGGCTCAGGTCAGCTCTAGAGTATGTGTGGAGAACCCTGTGACCCTCTGGTACACTGATGTCAGTGGTGAACATCTGTGTCCCTCAAGCCATCTGTGTCCCTGAACTGCCTGCCGAGCTCTGATCTGCCATCTCTATGGGGTTAGGGGGCACGTAAGGGAAGAGTGGACTGAGGAAGGCTGTGAGCTGACTGGTCCCACAGCTACTGAGGGCACCAGCCTGTGAGGCAGGAGGCTAGCAGTTATGGGTCCCACCTTTTCTCTATTGGTACCTATGCCCTAGATGAGAAAACAAGACTCAAAGAGTGGGTGCCTTTTCCAGTTTATCCAGCAGGGAGACAAGGTGCCAGGATTCCATCCAGGCTGCCTGGCACCCAGGACGTCACCTTGTAGAGCCACCAACTTAGCCACTCCAGTTCCATGGACCTGAGCTCTGCCTCATAAGAAAGTGCTACAGACTTTGCCATAGAGCATGGCCACCATAGGCATGTCAATCACTCCACTGCCCCTTGCTAGTGCCAGCTGTGGGTCCAGGCTGTGGGTCCAGGAGGCTCTACCTACCCACTTCTAGAGGAGTCACTCTCTCGGGAGTGAAAGACCATTTCTTATTTTCTAATCAATTCAAAATGTAAGTCCTGGTCTGTCTAATTCCAGAACCTCAGATTCACCGATTTGACACAAACCCTTCCCTCTCCTTGTGAATCTGTATGCTTTGAGAAACTGCACTGGAAGTCTCTTGCTTGCCCTGCCCACTCCACTCTGATGGGACCCAAGAGCCCCCCTTCCCAGGCATGTGTGAACTGCTACAAGCATTCCTTGGTTGTATTTCATCCAGTACTTTTGTGGGTTCTAACCATCCTAGCATTGGGCTCTCCTAAAGTAATCCCTGTTTTATCTAGCCACTTATAATAACTTATAATAACTCTCTTCAGGCAAGATCTCTGCTCAGTTCCTAAGTACGGGTCCCCTCTGGGCTACCCTCTTGGTTGGGGTCTGTTCTTTAAGAGCCACAGCTGACCCATGGAGAGTATATTTATCCTTGTCAAAAGTGCAAGCTTTTCCCAGGGTCTTTGGGTATGAGTCAGACACAAATGTCTACATTCCTCAAATCCTAGGACACATACCATAGCCTCTGAGCGGTTGTCCTGACTCAAAGCTTGAAATAAGCATTCTTTCCTCCTCCTGGGAACTGATGCCCAACACTCAGCATCTCTTCCTCTCTTCAGGAACACTTACCCTGTGCATCAGTCAGTTACAGCTGCGTAACAAACTGCCACAAACTGATGGACTTGAATGATAAGTTGGAGTTTCAATCAGCTGAAAAGGTCTGCTGATTCAGACTAAGCCCACTTAGTGCAGGAGGCATGTGGTCTGGGTAGCCATGGAGCCTGGGACAGCTTGACTGAGACAGTTTAGCAGGCTGCATGTGATGGTCAGCCTGGTTTTCTCTTCGTGGCAGCATTTCTTGTTGTGAGAAGCTGGGCATTTTCTTACCACAAAGGTGGAAAAGATAGAACTGAAGCATGAAGCTTTTGCCTGTCAGGTGACATGACATCCTATACCATGACTTTAAATGTCCCTAGACACCAGTGTTCTCCAATTTTGGTCCAACCTGGAAACCTCTAGTGTGAACTCCTGGTCCCAACACACACTGTCTATGACATCTCCAAGCCCAGATCGCAGACCAGGGCCATCCAGTGCTTGCTTGCCATCCTCAGGACCACCTCCATCTGTGTGCAGTGGGCTGCCGGCTGTCTCCCTGCTCCAGCCTGATGCACTGTCAACAAAGCAGCTCAGTGTGCCATCCCTTCAGTGGCCATGGCTCACCCACAAGCCATCCTCACGGTCTCTACGGCTTGCTCACAAGGCATCTGCTCTGTCTCACACAGCCTCACTTGGGGCCTCTGAGCTCCGCTCTTCCCCTGACCCTTACCAGCTCAGCCATCCTTGCCATGCCGTGTGTTCGCGGCTTCATGCTGTCCCTGCCTCCCCGCATGGCCTCTCCTGGTGAGTGAGCATGCCTATTCTTCACTGCACTGATGTCTCTGATCAGGGCCAACTTCCTGTTGGAATATCCTTTTATGTTTGTAGGAATGAGTTTTTCTCCCAGCCCCTCACTACCTGACACTACTACTCACCCCCAGATTTCTTTATTTTTCTGTTACTTCCCTCACCCCTGGTGGTAGCAGATCTTCACAAGCCTGTCCTGGAGCCTAGAGAAGCATCTGGCTCAGAGCAGGCACTTCACATGCGTGGTTGTGGCACTGGCGGTGCTGTTGAGGCCTAAGTCTCTGAGGAGTCGCTGCCATTCAGACACAGCATCTGCCAAGCCTGAAGCTGAGGCCCAGAGAAGTCCTTGGCAACTCTTCAGGCTGCGTGGTGGGGCTGACAGGGGCAGGAGGAACATGGGTGTACTGGAGGCCAAGGCAAGAGGAATTTTTGAGGCCTCCTTCTAAGAGCTGTTATTTCTAGGATTATGCTCCTGTGATCCATCATTTCTCAGACCCTGTGATTCAAAACAGCTTTTTCACAGGATAGGAAGAGCAGCTAGCTCATGCACGGGGAGCCCCGCCCTCCTGCCTTGCCTTCCTCTGCTTAGGGTTGCCAGGTTCTGGGTCCCATACATGTGTCAGAGTCAAATGTTCCAGTCTTGGTCTGCTCTTGGTGGCTTTTCACATGGTGACATCAATCCTTCTGCTTCAGTACACCGCAAAGCTGGGGGGTTGGGCATCACTGATGCCACATTTTTGTGGGAGGGTGGGGTTTCAGGGAGGGTCACATACTTCCTAGGTGACAAATCACCACCAGAGAGACCTGAAGTCTTACCTCTCTTTTTCTGACAGCCACTGTGACCTTGGGTAGGTGGATCTCCTTTCCAAAGTCCCTTCAGGCTCTGTAGTTGCACATACAAGGCCCACAGCCAGCAAGAGGCTGTGGGGGCATGAGCAGACACTCTTCCTGGAGGTGGATAACGGAGAAAACATGGCAGAGTTCAGCCTCAAACAGTGTGAAAGCCAGTCTGCAGTGGCCTCAAAAGTCAGGAGAGGGTGCTGGGAGCAGTGCTCGCCAAGGCTCTTGGAGAAAATGAGGGGGCCAGAGCAGATGTCTGCTAAGTGCTGGTGACTGAACAAGAACATGTATGACCAGAATGGAGACCCTGGGGATACAAGTGACAACGTGAACCATCAGAAAGACAAGAGGCTGGTCATACAGGGAAACAAGGCCCTAGGGCTGACCGCTAGAAGAGCAAAGCTGCATCTCATGTCTCAAAGATGACTCCAGATCACTACAGACGACGTCCCTGGCTGACCTGCCAAGTCATTCATTCACTTCCCAGGGCTCAGAGTCAGAACCCTGACGTCGGCTCCCACTGCGTCCTCAGAGAGTCCACACAGAACACTAATCAGAGCTGACTGCTGGTTTTTTCCACCTTATTAAAACACCACAGAGATTAAGTAATAACTTGGCTCCATTTGTAATTCCCCGTTAGCATCCCAGAGGCTGGATGAGTCTCTCAGGAGCTCTACTTGTAAAGGAGCAGTCCCCACCTTTGGGCCTTGGTTGGGGGCAGGGACATTTGGACCCATCTCAGTGAGAAAGTACAAACAGCAGATATGGAGGGTAATCTCAGCAGGGAGCCAGGCTAGACCCTGGGAATTGCAAGAAGAAGAAGAAGAAGGAGAAGGAGAAGGAGAAGGAGAAGGAGAAGGAGAAGGAGAAG